GATCTAAGAGGTTTTTAATAGTTGGTTTACACCTTTTAATACTAAAACTTCTATTGTCTAACACATTTTTTAAGATTTTGGTTTTTTTGATGTTCAATTTACAAAGCGAAAGCAGGGCAAATTCCGAGTTAGACGGGCACAGAGGAGAAACTCAGCTGATTATACAGCATTTCTTTTGGCATGAAGGTGCTAAGGGCTCACTAGTGGCAGAATAAGTCATCATCACGATGCTGAACTGCCAAAATTCACTGAGGCTACGGCATGACCTGCATGCAAAGCCAGCCGTGAAATCGCAGCGAAGCGCTGCCGGCAGCTCCAGCATCCCTGCATATGCTCCAGTTCTGCTCCACTTCTGCTCCAGAGCCCTGGAATTGCAGCCTGGATCCAGGGGTAATTGCAGGTGAAGCCAGGGAACAGCCACTATCAGAGCTTCGGCTATTAAGGCTCCTTAATGAATGGTCTAACAATAAGCCAGGCTTAACCAGTTCTCTCATTGCAGGACCTTAACCATAATAAACCCCTTGAACATTCCTACAGTGTTTTCCAAAGATCTTACAGCATGAGGCTCCTAACTGTGCTCTCACAGCCTGTGAGGCAGGTATTAGTCAGCCTTTTTTTTTTTTTTTTTTCCATTTAAGTACAGATAAAAAGCAAGGCAGAAAGCTGGCAAACAACTTCCCTGTGGATACACAGCTGACTAGTGGCATACAGAATCCAGATCTTCCAGATTCCAGCCCTGTCATCAGCCAAAAGGCCATCATTAGGAGGAAAGAAATTAGTCTGGTCTTATAAATAGCATTTGAATATAAGCCTTGCTAAAATATTTGCAAGGAGTTGACCTTAAACACCAGCAGAGCTGCACTGGTAGCCTGGGGCTCCAAGCACCAGCTTGCACAGCACTGGGACTGGGATCCCATCCCTCTGCCTCCTGGATGTCTCCAGAGCCTGGATCCAGCACAAACTGTCCAACAGATCAGACCACAGCCCCATCTGACCACCCCTGGTTTGGGCTCAGCATATCCAAAAATGTAAGACTGCTCTAAAAATACAAAAATACACAGGTAGGCAGGAAAAAGCAAATTAACAACAAGCCTGAGTCAGCAACTTTCTCCCGCTTTCAGGCACCAAGTCAGACTGGCAGAAATCTCCCTGTAACACAAGAACTGGAAACCTGCAATGGAGAAAAGGTGCCCAGCACACCTAAAATCTGGAGCACTTGTCGAAGTTAATCATTCAAACTGCTCAGACTGCATTATCACACATTTATCTGTAATTTCTGCAGGTCTCGAATGCCTGAGTGAGATATATTTTGATTTATGGCATTTCCATATGGCACTACAAAGAAGCAGATCTTTTTCTGAACTACAGCTTCAATACCTGCAGCACGTCTAACTCCTGGGCTACAACTCCAGCAGCAAAATACTAAGCCAAATACTGATTTTTGCAACAAAAACCCTCTTATGTTTCCTTCTGTAAGAGTCTAACTTCATTTGAAGTAATGTACTTTCTAGTAAGGCAACTCGATGATACCAAGTGGAAAACTACAAAAGCAGAGTTAAAGCAAAAAAAAAAAAAGAAAAATAAGACTTTGTGTAACAACATAGTAATTCCTGTAGTTACTCATTTATTCTGGTTTTAGGTACCTGTCTTTCTCCCTCCCACCCATGTGGGCCATGCCCAAGTGCTGAATACACAACCTCTAAACCACAGCAGGAGCTCTCAGTCCAAGGGAGAGCTGGAAATGGAAAATTTGTTATCTTCTGTGGGGATCCTCTACACCACAGATAAAAAGCACACAAGAAATTTTGAGAAAAAGCTGCCTGAGTGGAACAACAAGTTGGAAGGCTTTTTTATTTCTATTCCTCACTTTAGCAGCTAACTCTTGTTACAGGCAAGAGAGCCATAAAATCCTATTTTTGGCTGTCTGCTTCCCAAATGACAGAAAACTCCTGACTCTGAGAACATGACCATCTCACACTGGAACTAAAGGCTCGTGTCTCTTAATGAAAAAACAGCAGAGAGAAAATTCCCAGTGTCCTGCCCAGGAAGACCAAACTCCCTGGACTATTATGCATTAAAGCACCACTGGGCCGTGGCACAGAGGATGAGACCTGACTCTCAGCAGAGCCTCTTTCCATCCCAGCTCACATTTAGGGCTCAATTATCTTATCTGCTCTGCCACTCGCATACTTTCCAGATAAGAAATGTTTTTCCCCTCTTTTGAAGAGCTAAAACTGACACCACTGCCAGTGTCGAGATTAGAAATGCTAGAAATTAAAATTCACTTAGGCTAATGCTTTTTTAAAAATACTTAATGTGCTAAGTATACTAAGGCTGGGAATTAGAGTTAATTGAGATGCTGTGAGTTTTAATACCAGTAGGATGTTCCTCAAGGGGAAAGGGAGTGTGGTGCCCACTTCAGTTTCCTCACAGGGTTTAGGTCAACCATCAGTTCATTTCCAGTTGAGAAACTGCTCAAGAGTTGGGAGGGAGGGAGGGAAAAAAGCCTGTTTTCCTCTTCCAATCTATGACTAAGGATGAGGCAAGCAAAGGGAGGATCTAAGATCCTGAAGGCGATGGTTAACAAGAGGTCATTAGTTAATTCCCTCAAGGGTAGATATGACTTCCTTTTATTAAATAACAGCAGTTTTTAATGATGTCAAATATCTGTTGCCATTTTAAAGGAACACAGCATACTCAAACTTTACCTGAACCAGGCAGAATAAGCAGAGACACACAAGAAACTCTGAACTGAAAGGCAGATTGTCACTACCGAAGTAAGGAAGAAAAAAAGGCTCATTTGATTTTTATCCCAAAAATGTACATTATATATTCTTTCTTAATTGTCTATTTTTGGCCTAACAAAAGCAAATTTACCATACAGTCTGTTTTAATCAGTACCTTAAGATGTACAAATAAACCGAGTCATTAGAAAAAAAGACAAACACAAGCACCATTCTAAGGTTTAAATGACGTTTCTTGCTTAAATAATTTCTGAAAAAGTTTAATCGATTATGATTTATGACCAGCTATTAATTATCTGTACAAATACAGCACCTGAGAGCTTCAGTTACCCTGCAGCAAGGCCCTACAGAGGCAGAGTAGAGGCGATGCCTGCTCTGGAGAGATTACAATCATCCAAAGATGAATTAAGAAACACAGGAGAGCACAAGGAAATAGGTGACTGGAATTTCTCTTCTTTGTAGCTGCACTTTAGTCCACTTTCCCTTGTGCACTGCAAGGACCAAGGTGTGTATTTGTTTCCTCTCCCTGCCTCAGTAAAAAAAAATAACACTCCAGAAGTAACACAAAGACCAAAAAAAACCCCAAAACAAAACACACCAAAAAAAATCCCAAACACAGAAAAGAAGGTGTTTTGCAAAATAAGACCGGAAAAAAACTATTTACACATTTCAATACCTCTGCTTCCCATCTGAGAAAGTATTTATTTTTTTTTTCCCCAGGTTTTTTAAGCTGTCATCCCACAGAGCAAGGCTGTACCATAGTAAAAGGGCAGACACACAACTTTTGGAAGCGTTGTGTTGCCATTTAAAGGAATCCTTTGAAATTACCACACAACACAACAGTAGATCACCCAATACAAACCAACAGCCAGAGCTGTTTACAAGCTTTCTGCTCAGTGTTACACTGAAAACCCCAACCCTTTTTGCTGTGTAATAAATCAGTGCTCCACGTTTAACAATTTTCAGTGGTACCATATGCTACGTAGTCCCATATGTTCCATTACAAGGGAGAAAAACATCATCTCAACATGAATCATCACTGACTGTGTTCCTGTAAATCTGGCTTAAACACTCACAACGTTCAAGGGCAACCCTAAATAAATCTGCTCAATGTTATGCCAGATTCTGTGCAACAGAATCACAGCTCACATATAAAAATTAGGGGAAAATGAGGTTTAATGTAGGAAGCGAGCACAGTCTTCATCTCTTTAAAAAACAGACTCACCACAACGTTTGGCACACATTTATCAGTTCCAATCTAATAATGACATCCTGCTCACAAAATGTTTGATGGTATCTGGTAGTCCCAACACCTTTCATCCCAAACTGTTTGATATGTGTGGAAATACACACACTGCATTCAAGATTCATTCCTCCCAGTGCCAGGTTCTGCACCACAGTGATTCTGGAGCACAGTTTGTAGAAAAGTAAACCCAAAGCAAACCCGTGTGTGTTTTAGACTCCAGGGGAATGCAGCTGGAAGTGTAAATGGTTTATCCTGCATTTTGGGTTAGCACTTCCACTCTCACAGTGACAATTTCTTAGGGAAGTACAAACAGCTTTTTCTCTCATCCCAAAGATGTCACCTGCAGCACAAAACCTGCTCATCCCGGATCAAACTCATGGAACACCAAGGTCATCATCTGCCCTTCTTTTGAGGAATTTCTTGGATTCTCAGGTAGCCCAGCATCATAATTAACAGTGAGAGCAGGAAGAGGTGCAGATGGAGGCCAGACTGGGAGAATGTCTCTACTTGAAATCCTTCAGTAGCCAAGGAGGGACCACGAGTGACCACACGCTCCCACGGAATGACTGGTGTCATTAAATTCTAAATCAACCAGAGTCCAGTTTGACCTAATATTCAGGGTGGGGAAAAAAGTAATTACATCAACATCAAGCTATTACCTGTCCAAGGGCATAAGTGCCTAGTTCATTAGCAACTCAGACAAACTTGTTTTGTAAGCTCCCTATATTAAATTTGAAATTTCCCTGCCCTTACAAATTAAACTAATGATTTGTGACACAAATGTGAGTATATAAACAAGAAATCTTCCAACCTGCTCAAATCCAATGTGTTCTTTGCCATCCTGAATAAGAACAAAGTTATTAGCCAATCTAATTTCAGTATTTAATTCATTTAAATAAATTAAAAAATAATTTTAAAATTAATACTAGCAGTACTCCAGTTTTCTCAAATCTTAGAGCAAAACCTACTGATCTTTAAAAATATATCTTTTTCATATTTCCCACAAGATGTTAGAAGTGAATTCCCATGGTTTAGTTCTACAGAATAAAGGCAGCATGTCATGTTAGGAACACTGCTCTTTAATGCTGGAAGCGGGTCTTTATGAAAACTGAGAAATGCCACAGTGCCATTAATAACTCGGATATCCAACATCCTTCAGGAGCTCAAGAGATGGATGACCATGCCCAGTTAATTTACTTTAATTTCTATTTCAACTTTCCTCCTCATTAATGAGGAGCTGAGGCTCTCACAGATGAGAGTTCCTGGCACACAATGCCTATGATGACTCTTAAGTGATGCCCACCACACGATCACAAAGTCACAACCTGTGCTGCCCACGTAAGAATCACAGGAGAGATTTCCTTCTCTTTACCCAGAGGGAGCCCTAAATTTACCAGATCAATACCTTCTAAAACACACCTCACTCAGAAAATTAAAACAAAGCTGCCAGAGTGACTTCAGGGAGTGACAAAAAGACTGTCAGGGAAACTGACTGAGATGCCCCTGGAAGAACTGATGACCAAGCAGGCACCAGGCAATTGCATCATGTTTATTACACAGCCAAGGGCGATCAGATCCTTCTGGTTTAATCAATGGCCTTCAAATGAGGAAGTAGTTTGAAAATAATAAGCATAAAACGAAATACTCTTTCGGGTTCACTTTTTGAATTTTTCCCTGATGTGTGAAAGCACGTCTACTAATAAAGCTGAGCACGTGCTGCAGCAGAATTTTATGGAAATCTACTTTGTGAATGAAATCTACCTTTGATGCCAAAACTGCACTTTTATTCAAACTCAGTTTGCTGTAAATGCTGTGACTGAAGTGTAGAGGGGTTCTGTTAAAAGACTCTGAGTTCTGTCTTAAAACAAAAGATGCATTTCTTATTTAAAAACATTAACCTTAGACATCTTTTTTTTGTGTAAAAGCAACAAATAAATTAAATTTAAAGTGTTCCACAAACACCTCCTTCCTTGGCATTTCTCATAACCTGGATGCTGCAGCATCTCACGAGGCTGCAGAACAACCTGGAACAAAAACCTGTAAGAGGAGAAAACAACGAGTCTGTGTTCCTGCTCCAAACTCACTGACCACTGCCCTGTCCCTGCTCCTCCTCTGCTCCCCAGCAGTCCAATAAACTCCGGCCCTGCTTCATACAAACAGGGTTTTTCCTTTAAAACAAGACAGCAGGTTACTCACAAGGAACAGAGCTCATTGCTGCAGAAAGTTTTCCCCATCCAGCAACACGTTATGGAAAATAAATCTAACAGTAAAACGCTGTTGATCCAAGAGCCGCATTTAGAATGCACACAAGTAGAAATATCTCATCTTTAAAAGCTTTGACTTGCTAAGATCCTTTTTAACTGATAATGATGCAACAATGTAAAAGGGAAGTACTTACAGAGAATCACTGTAAGTAATACACACACACCAACAAGAATTAAGTTTGCAATCTGAAAGGCCTCGTACAGAGAAGGGTGGATGGAAACAACCCAGAGCTCAAGGTTTCCTCAAATCAGACGCCAGAGGAAGTTATATGATGAGTTGGACAGCAAATAAGAAATCTGGATTTGATAAATGAGACATTTATGTAGATAGGAACAGTCTGCAGCCTCACTGTGGGTGCATGAAAGAATCATCAGATATTTGTATGAAGCTCAGTGTTAAAAGAGACATTACAGACAGGTGTTTACATTTAAAACATGCCCTATATTGTTATATTAGCCCCTGAAAACACAAAAATAGCTGCCAACCAGAAATAGCCCAATTTTAAGCTCTTAGAGAGGAGGAGCATGGTGTATTATCTCTCTCCACGAACAATCCACTATCAACACAGAAACCCCAACACGTGTCCTCTCATAAATCTGGTATGGGATACATCAAAGTAATGACCACTGGCAAAACAAGGTGCATCACTGCCAGCACTGCAGCATTCTAAACATTTGCTAAAATATGCCAGCACACCTTGGGGAACAGACTGGAGCCCGCTTAAACAACACAAGCACCACAAACCACAGCCTGCTGTACCCAGCAACTTTAAATCATCCTAGGTTCTGTAGAACTACATCCACATGGATCCAGAACCCTGCTTCCACCTTCTTACATTGATCACTATCCACAAAGATGGACAGGGGGATTCCAAATCTTTCTAGCACAACCAGGGCCGGAATCAGCACTGCCTGCTTTGCTGCTTTTAAACAAACACGGAGCTGCTGCTGGACTGTGTGCGAGCCCAGCATTCCACACAGCTCCCAGAGCAGTGTCCCGCTGCCTTCTCCCCACCCTGGGGAGAAGAGCCCAGCTGGGGACAGCAAACCCAGCACCGAGCTGCTCAGTCCTGCCCAGGCTCAGCAAGTGACCAAGATGCTACCAGGGCTACTCGGTGGCTACTGAAGTTTAGAACTGCCGTAGCTGTAGGATTAGGGAATTCATTCCACTCACGTTCCTGGAGAAGGGGGGGTGAGGACACACGAGGAGATGTATTTATAAAAATTCTGAAGGCTTAGTACTTGCCTCGTGTCCTCCTTCCTTCTCCTTCCCACGCAAGTACGAGTGCTGCTCGATGGCATCCAGCACCTACAGCAAATCATTTCTCCGTGTCATTAAAAGGACAGAGACATCTGCTCGCACCAGACCTACGTCACTGCTTCCAACTCCGCTCAAAGCTAACAGAAACGCCGCTCCCTGCTCCCGTGAATCCAGCAGGTCACATTCCAGCTCCCGGATCCCGGGCTAATCCCAGCGGAGCAGCGCCGTGCTCCGAGCCGTGCCCGGCTCCAGGTGCAGGCAGCGGCCGCTCTCCTTCCTCTCCTCTCGCTCCCACCGGGGCGTTCCCGTCCGCTCGGGGCTGCTCCGCTGGAGCTCCCACTTCCACAGAGCTCCCGGGGACAGCTCCCGGCACTTGGGACAGAGGCAAGGAACGAGGGAGCGAAGGAAGACGAGCAGGAAGGAGCGGCTCTTCCCCCAGCACGAGGTGCGGGGCAGCTGCCCCGGCCGGGCTCTCTCAGACCCCGCACCCCGCACTCGCTGTCCCGACCCCGAGCACCCCTGCCATGAGACACCCCGGGACAGCCTGCACCGAGCGCCCCGCTCCGCCGCAGCACCCACAAAGTGCCGCTACCAGCCCCAAGCGCGCTGCCAGCCCCAGCGCTGCCCCCTGCCCTCCGCGCCCCGCCGGGACCCGCCTGTCAGCGGCGCCGCTCCCTGTGCCGGTGCCTCACCTGGTGCCGGCCGGCGGCAGCGGGCCACGTCCGCGGGGCCCGGGCGGGGAGGGACGAGGAGAAGGAGGAGGAGGAGAAGGAGAGAGGGACGGAGCGTGTCCGCCGGGCCGTGCCCGTCACCGCCGCTTCCTGCCCGGCCCCGCTCGGCGCTCGGCTCCTCCGCCTGGCAGCTCAGGCCGGGCCGCTGAGCGGCGCCGCCTCACGGAGCGCACCGCCCGCGCCATCGGCGCTCGATTGAGCCGCCTGCGCGGTGCCGCGGGCTGGGAGGGAGGGGAGCGGCGGGATGGCGGTGTGGGGACGCTGCGAGAGCAGCTGTGACTGCGGGGCTGCCAGGGCTGCAGCGGCCTCGGCTGGGGGTGTTCGTGTCCGGGCTCAGGTGTGCGTGAGGGGTGTTAGGGTCCATAGTGGTCTCAGGTGTGTATGGGGCTGGTTGGGCTCACAGCGGCTTCAGGTGCGTGTGTGAGGGGCTTAGGGTGGTTTCAGGAGGGGGAGGGCTATAGTAACCTCAGGTGTGTATCGGGGACGTACGGTCTGCAGTGGTCTCACGTATGAGGAATGGATGTTGAAGCCCATATCAGGCTCAGGTGTGTGTGTGGAGGGGTGTCAGGGCCCGTAGTTCAGAGGTGTTGTGTGTGTTTGTTACATTGGCAGGGTCTGTAGAGGTCTCGTGTGGGGGGGGAGAGTTGGGGCCCACAACCAGCTCCTGAGTGAAAGGGCAGTGTTTGGGCCCAGTAAAAAGGCAGCTCTGAGTCTTCCGTCCCGTGCTGCAGGTGTTGGGGGAGCCCTGACAGGGACTGTGTGTGTGAAGAGGCCCCTGGTACCCAAACAGGAGCAGCTGTGATTTGGCAGCAAAGCCCCAAAGGAAAAGGAACTGTAGCAGGGATTGAGAGCTCTGGGTTAAGAATTGCTCAGAGCAGAGGCAGGATAAAGTGAGTTTGTGCTGATTCTGCCAGACTTGGTGGTTCCCCACACAAGAACCTAAACGCTTCATAGTTGTATTTGTATTTGACAGGGGGGTAATTACTTCATTTTTCCAAATAAAACTGAAGGAGCAGAGCTTTATCTGCCAGTATCTTGTGCAGCCTCATTCTGCCAGCTTGCTCCTGACAGCTGTTCCCCCTTCTTGGGCTTCTAGAACCGTCCTCAGAGAGCTGTGTGAAACCACAGGTACAGAAACCTGAGAGACCGGAGTCCCACGTGAAGAGTGTTGGTGTGTCCTGTGCCTCACAGGCCAAAGTACAATACCAGCACTTCTCATGGTAGTCGAGTAATTCCACACAGTCAGTTTCCTGTTTATAATCTGAGCTCCATAACCTTTTTTTTTTTTTGTCCCTCTGTTTCTTACAAGTGGAAAGAAGAGCACAGTGAGCACGACTCATCTGTCAGCAGCTCTGTGAAAAGCTGATGCTGAGCAAGCAGGAGGCAGAGATCTCTCCCCAAACTGAGCGTGTATAAAGTTCTGAGTGAGTTGTGATGAGAACAGCTCCGATGGAAGCACGAGCCAAGAACAACAGCTCGACAGGGAACTTTACACTTTCCCTGACAGCTCCTTGGGGCGGAGACAGTTAAGTTTCTGCGTTTGTAAGGGAAACATGGCATTCCTTAAAGCTGAGCCTCCTCCCTCGGGTTCCCACTGAATGCCTGAGAGATGACAGCAGAGGGTGTCTCCAGCAGGCTCCTATTAAACAGAAGGAATTAGCACGGAGGGAGCAACAGCGAGATCCCAGTTTTGACCACAGAATGAGCTAAAAAGCTTTGCACAGCAGCAGTTTGCAGGTTTTTTACCCACTGGCGGCACAGGGCTCCTGCTCAGGGGGTTCCTGTGCCCTCGAGTTGGTGCCTGCACCTGCCCGATGTGTGAAGGGCTGTGCTGGGAGGGCAGATCAGCTCCAAATAGAAAGTGCTGAGGCAGCAGTGAGGCAGGGCAGATGATCCTTGGGAGGGCAGCTGTGGTTCAGACACACTTAGAACTGGTTTGGTATCCCCAACAGCACAAACCCGGCTGGCAGGGCAGCTGGTGAGCCGAGTACGTGGACAGATGGAACAGATACAGACAGGAAATGGGGGAGAAAGGGGAAATATTCGTGTTTGTAAAGCTCCGAGGGGGCTCTGGTTAGTTCTTGAGTCCTGCAGTCCCATTTCCATTTTCAGCTCAGTGACCGGATGGCTTTGGAGAGTGACTTGAGGAGCTGAAGCCCGGTGTGAGTGTGGGGAGAGGACAGACCCGTGGGCACCAGGCAGCTCATGCGATGTTGCAGCCGCCACCACGCCCTTTCCTGTTCACCCCGGGGCCGCGGGCAGCCGTGGCAGCCACGCTGCCTGAGTGGGGAGAAGGGAAAAGGAAGGGTTTCCAAAGTGCTGACAACCCATAGCATTCCTTGGGAAAGGAGAAGTGGCGAGCAGCTCTGGTGGTGTCTCTCCCCTGAGATAAAAACGCTCCCAGAAGTTCTGCGAGCTGCCTTGGGGGATGGGGGGGTGCCGACTTTTGGCCGTGCCTCAGCCTCGTCCCCTGTTGGAGGCAATATTGACTTAAGGAAGGAGGCATGGAGCATACTTGGCGTGGGTGTTCCGAGTTAAAAATTGTCAGTCTGGGCAAACAGACCTTTGGGGTGATGGCCAGGAAAGCCGAGTGGCTGCACTGCATTATTGCTGCTCCTTTCAGAGCACGCTGTGACCTGGTGCTGCTCTGAGCGCCGAGTACCCGGCTCGGCGGGTTTGGAGAAGCGCTGCAGGTTTTGGAGGTCAGTGCTTCAGATCAAACCCATTTCCTTCCCATCGGTGAGGTGTTTGTAGTGCCTCAGTGAGTCAATAAGCTGTGCATGTGAGGAATGCACCTCACAGCTAAGGTGAGCGATTAGTGTGGCTGTGCTGGAGGTGATGAGATTAATTAGTCCTTCCCAGGTGAATTAGAGCTGCAGAAATAAGATACATGAAATACTTAGTCTGAAATAGCACTGTGAGGCATTTTCAGATGGGAGTGGGGTCCTGCATATGACTCTCACCGTGTATCTTGATCCTTAATTTTGTAGCACTGCCTAGTCAGGAGAATAACCAGTACCTGGCAGATGTCAGCCACGTGTTCTACAAAAGCTGCTGTTCACTGGCAGGAGGCACCTGATACACCTGGGTGAGATCACAGTGCTGGCTGTGGTGGGGCTCTGCTGAGAGTATGGAGGAACAGGGAAGTAATATCTCTATTAAAATACAATAAAATTCAAGTGTCCTAATGAGTCCGTCCCTACCGAGGCAAGGTCCTGCTGTGTGTCTGTGTCACAGAATCACACAATGGGTCGGGTTGGAAGGGATCACAGCGGGATCATCTGCTCCAGCAGGGTCATCCCAGAGCACGTGGCACAGGATTGTGTCCAGACGGTTCTGGAATATCCCCAGAGAGGGAGGCTCCACAGCCTCTCTGGTCTCTGTTCCGCTGTTCAGACACTGCACGGTGAAGAAGCTCTTCCTCCTCTCTCGGAGGACAACAGCAACGGGCATCCAAGCTTTTGGCACCTCTAGTCCATGAACAGGAGCCCAGGTGGCTGCACCCCGCTGAGGAGTTAAACCCCACGGCCAGCACAGGCCAACCCCGTGCCACGCACTGGGCGGGCCGGGACTCGAACCCTCAACCTTCCGAGCCGCAGGGCCCGCGCTGGCCGGGCGGGGGCGCGGCGGCCCCGGCTCCGCCCGGAAGCGGAAGCGCGGCCGCGGTTCCCGCCGCGGTTGCCGAGCGGCGGCCGCTCCGTCCCGTCCCGCCCGCGGCCATGAGCGCGGCCGGGCTCGTGTCTGCGCCGCCCGCAGCCCCGCCGGGGCCGCCCGCCCCCGCCATGGCCCCCGCGCCCGACTACTACGAGGAGGAGGAGCTGGAGAGCGCCGAGGAGGAGGACGGCGAGCGGAGCGCCCGGGCCCGCGACTCCGACGAGGGTGTGTGGGAAGGGGGCGGGTCGGTGCCCGGGGACGGAGCGGGGGCTCTCGGGGGGGTGTGGGGCGGGGAGGGTCGCTCCGCACGGTGTTTGGGATAGCGCTGCTGGTTTAAAGGGTTCGGAGTGGCGAGGACGCTCCGAGCAAACAAGGACCTGCCGGGGTGCAGCGGTTCCGTGCGGGAGAGTAAAATAGTAAAGGTGCTGGAGAGGCGGAGTTGTGGTTCTCGGTGAGCAGGAGGCAGGGGGACCGAGTGGCACAGCAGAGTGAAAACAGTGGAGAAACCCCGTGTTTTGGTTCTGTTTCCATGGTGTGAAGAGGGAAGGACCCAGCTAAGGGAGGAGAAGGTGCGGACAGAAGTGTAGCAGTGCAGGAGAATGTGACCGTACAAGAACCAGAGGGCAGGAAGAAGAGGAAATTAAGTAAAACCCGGAGTTGCCAGGAGCGTAGAGGACATAAAATACCAGATAAGGGAGATGTGGAAGGACTCTTGGAGAGTGGCTGATGCTGGCAGCAGAGCACTCCATCCCCTCTGGCCTGGTTATATGGGATGATGTTAAAGATGCAGAGGGTGACAGGGTCAGTGAGGGCTCTCCCAACAGAGTATGGAAGTCTTTTGTGATGGCCCAGACGTTTGAGTACATTTCTTGCAGTTAAAAAACTTACTGGTTTATCTTTGGTGCGTTAAATTTTATCTTAAGTTTAAAATGTTTGTAGTTTAAGAAAAATCTGAGGAAGGTTTGATTTAAGGGGCTGGGCCCCCCTTCCATGTGTAGGGAATTAGCTGTGGTTTGGGTTTCTCAGCTGTACCTTGTAAAGCCTGGAGGCACTTACCCCTTTTTGGACAGGTAATGGATTCTTGGTTATAAATAGAAGCTTGAAAAGTCTTAGCAGCAAGCTAGCAATCCCACAGCAATTTACTTTATTTACAGTTGATACTGTTTGTTTATAAAATGCAGTTATCTTTATGGCAGTGCTGGTATTTGAATGTTGAAGGACTAAATGAAGTATAGCTGAGAAGTTCCCAGCCTGCTATCTTTGGTGAGACCTTTGTGGTCAACCTGAGCAGCACAGAGTGGGTAGAATTCCAGCAGCAGGTTTGTGAAATGTCTTTCAGAGTCTTTAGGCTGTTTGTGTCCTACCTGTGTGTGAGTATTAATGTAGAGCCCCTTGTGTTAAACGGGAAGAAATTCCCAGACTCTCTGAAGTTGAAGTTGCTCATGTAAAGCTGCACTGCAAAACTCAGAATTGCAGGAAGATGTTTTATTTCTCTCCTGAATTCATCTCTGAGATTGTCTTTGATGTTAAATTGCCTGAGGTTTGGGGATTTCTTTTTTTTGCTTGCCTGTTTCCACGTTTTTAAATAATTTACTGCTTAGTTTGGGATTTTTTTAAGTTTTCTAAAATTTTTAACAAGTTGTTTTTTGCCTCGTTTAGACACTGAGGATGCCAGTGAAACAGACCTGGCAAAGCACGAGGAGGAGGACTTTGTAGAAATGAAAGAACAGTAAGTAACCCATTCCAAATACAAGTAAGGTGATGTTCTATTTATTTGTGGATTTAGGGGTGTTTATTGCCTTAAACTTGGCAAAGGTTTAGGCCAAGATTGGGAGTTTTAAGTGCTTACCCGAATGAAATAGCTCATGAGTCCATCCACTTGTATTTCTGCTCTCCCCAGTTACTTTCTCTGTTCTATATAAATTCAAGGAATTAAGGGCTGCTCCTGTTTTGGGCAAAGAAATAATTATGAGTTCTGGGAGCAGCTGCAAATGGATCCTGCTGAAGGCAGATCCTTCAAGTAAAATAAAGGCTCTGCTTTAGATAAGCTAAGGAAAAGTAAGATGCCTATCCACGTGCCTTAAACAATTGAATTCTAGTCCTGAACCAGACACAGACTTTTGGGAGACTTGAAATTTGCAGTATTTTGAGTTCTTGCTTACTGGCAGAGATCTGTTTTTATACAGATCAGGAAGATTTGGTCAGTGTTAAACCACAGATATGTGGTAAAAGACATGCAGGTTTTTAGCAGCACCAGGAATAGACTTCTATGGGTTTTTAAAATAATGTGGGGAGCTAATGCACAGCTAATAAAACTTGACATAGTGCAAGAGTGATTCTGCTGTAAAATTTCTGGTGTTTGTAGATCTAAATGTTATTTTAGATTTCAACATTAAAAAAAATCCTATTTTATCCCAGATTTTAAACCCATTGTAGAACCAAAGAACTGCCAGAATTCTTAAGACACAATGAGAACCTTTTATTGGGATAAAATTCTTTTAGTCTGTAGTTGTAGTTTTGAGTTTGCAGTTCTTTTAGTTTGTAGTTTGTTTGTTCTCTGAAGTTCTGACAAGTTTTTGATTCTGTGTAAACATGTAACTTCAAGAGATGGTGGAATAAACTATTTCTGCTTGGTATTTAAAGTTTCCTGCTGTGTTTGCAGGATGTATCAGGACAAACTGGCATCTCTGAAGAGGCAGCTACAGCAATTGCAGGAGGGTAAGCTTTGAAGAGTAGCTTTGGTTTTTATTTTCAGCACTTTTCAAATGTCATAGAAGGATGGGAGTTCTGAAAGATGGGAGCAGCATCCTTCACTGCCTGTTGGCGCTCAGCTGTGCTGCAGAGTTAAAAATGTCAGCTGCTTCCCATCTTTTCTCCATCTTAACTCCACTTGTAGTTAAGCCTCTCTGCTAGAACACTTCTTAAAAGGAGTAATCCACTTTTTACAAAAGCAGGGAATGTGCTTTGAGTGGTGTATGACTCCTTGAGGATATTTAATTATTGGGGGGAAAAAATGCAATGGGAATCTATAATTTATTTCCACTAGGTACTCTTCAGGAATATCAGAAAAGGTTGAAAAAGTTGGACCAGCAGTACAAAGAAAGGATACGAAATGCAGGTAAGTGGAATTTCACTCTTAAGACACTGCAAATAACTTAAATGTGTGTTTTGTATAACACCTGAAGTCAAAAAGAGGTAATTCTGTCCTTTAAAGAAAAGAAACTTGCTGGAGCAAAGGGGTCTTTGGGTACCTTGTAGGGTTTTTTTCAGAGTTCACCAAACATGACAGGATCTACCTTGATTATTTTCTTCTCTCAGTCTGGATTGTTTGCTGACTGATAAACAGTTTTAGTCTTCACTTGTGTGAAGCAGCACAGTTAAAAAGATTATTCCATTTTTATCTTGGCTCACAGTGGTCCCACTTTGGTTTGTTGTTTTGTGGCCTTTTTGAAGCTTTTGGGTGCCCTGTCTCCTTCAGTTTGTAGGAGTGGCAAATTTAGGAACACATACTTTCCCAAAGATCTGTTTGTGATCAATGAACACAGAGGATTTACTGCTGGAACTGTTGTTCTGCATGGCAGTGACATTGAATGGGCTGCCTGGACTTTGTGTGCTGCTCTGTTTCAAGGAGCAAAGTCCCAGGTTAATTTTTAAAGTTCCCAGGGCTCGTCCTTCTGGGTGTTTTTATTGTGTTGCTGCAGAGGAATGGCTTGGGAATCAGATCCAGGTGCTTGCCCTCCCTCTTTCTTATTCCCTTTCAAGTAGTTTCTTACCTTAGGCATTAAAGCAGGGCCTTTTATAGAAGGCATTATGTGGATATGGGGAATACAGCTGCTCCTCCTTTAGCAAAAGAAAGCAATTCTCTATTTCTCAAAGTGCTTGGGAAGGTAGAGGATTTGCTTGAGGAACTGAAGTGATTTGAGCAACTTCTTGTTAACAGGAACCTGTCTCCTGAGATGAATTCCACTAATGATGGAGGTTGGAAAAGACCTCCAAAAAAACTTTTCATATGCACTAGATCTGCATCCTGGCAAGCCTGGGCTGTTTTGATAAAATTAAGCCTAAGTGCAAACTGGTATTTCTGACTGGCCACGAGCAGTGCTGCAGCAGCAGAGTTCTTCCACAGGAGGGCAGGTGGAGATCACTTGGAATTTTATGATTAAAAAAATCCAGCTGCCTTGTAGTACAGGAATAAGGGTCTTTTATGTTTGTCCTTGGCATGCTGAGCTTTATTAAAACAACAGTTTAGATTTACCTGCATTTGATTATCTACATAATGCTGTAGATTGCTTTGCAAATAGAAGGCTTGATTTTTATTGCAGCTTTCTTATATTTTGTGTATATTATTATGGTTTTAAATTTTTTTTTTACGTAATGGAGTAGTACAGTGTTGCTACTACAGCCTTCTCTGAACTGAACAGTGTGGAATAGTGTAAGCTTTTCAGTGAGGTGACAATCTGTAAAAATCCTCTAGTAACAGTGTATTTTTGTAGAATTTTTTCATAGTCACTTTATTTTCAGCATAAAGCTGTGAAGTCTGAGTAGAGGTTGGATAAGTACATGGACTATTTGCTTCACTGCCTGTCTTGGCTGCAATATTCAATGGCTTTAAATGGCAAGGAAGTAATTTGGTGCAACTTTGAAGGTAATAAATCAAGTCTTTCTTGTGTTTCAGAACTGTTCCTGCAGCTGGAAGTAAGTACTCTTAATTTATCAAAAATATGCATTAAATAGGTAGAAGAGGCATAAACCTTGTTTCATCAACCAGCATTTGGACTTGTTTTCCCAGAAGGCTTAAAAGAAATTTTCTTCCTTTAGCTGGCTTTTACACTTGAGATGTAGTAGAGCTTACTGCTGGTATTGCCTCTAGTAACTTCTGCACTGTGTTGTTAAAATAGAATTAAATATTTGCAATTGGCCTCGTGTATCTGGCTGTGCATTGGGCTGGTCAGAAAAGGATGTTTAAGGTGATAAGTGCTGTTTATAAATCAGCAGAGCTCTCTGCTAAAGACTTCATTTGTTATGCAACATTAAAATGTCATTTTGCAAATAATTATTTCGCCAATATAATAGCACTAAGTAATTTTTAGATGCTTTTCTGTAGATTGTGAGTATTGATAATCTTTAGAAATTGGACCAGTTGTGAACTGAAAAGCTGATCAATAAAGCATTTGAAAAGCTGTTGTGATATCATTAACTTGAGTCCTTAATTAACCTTCTTGCTCCTTGGGTTTGCATTAGACAGATCAGGTGGAGAAAAATTACGTGAAGGAAAAGAAAGCAGCAGCAAAGGAGTTCGAAGATAAGAAAATTGAGCTTAAGGAAAATCTGATAGCAGAGTTGGAAGAGAAGAAGAAGATGATTGAGAATGAAAAGCTAACCATGGAATTAACAGGAGGTAAAGAAGATAAGCACCTGTCATTTGTGTATTTGTGTTATCCACTCTGCTCCTGCTTAGGGAAAGAGCTGTAAACATGGCAGGGCTGGTTTACACAGCACTGGTGGGAAATGCCAGCAGGGGCAGAGCATGAATTGGTGGTCTTTTAATGGAGAAAGCAGCTCAAAATTCACTGAATTTTTAACAGGTGGATCAGGCAGTGCCAGTGGAGCAGCAGAGGGGATGATGGACTTGCTTATATGCTGGGAAAGAGGCTTTGGTTCCCTGACCTAGCAATAAAACTATTGAGTTATGTCACAGTATTGACCTAACCAGTGATGCCAGATTGTAAAGCTCTGTCCTTTCCTTCCTGTAGGAGTGAGTGGTCAAGTAGTGGAAGAAAGCCAAACAATAAAGGTTGAAATCTGCTTCTTAAAGCCAGTAAAAAAATAAAAATTGTGGGTTACGTTTGTGCCAAGGCTCTAGAAAATTTAGATTAAATGGACATATTTTTTTCAGACAGTTGTTACCCCTGGTGCCTTGCAGTGCTCTGTGGTAATGGACACAGGGGAGCTAAGTCAGGAGTTAATTATTCCTGCAGAATTCTGTTGCTGAACCAGAAGTCTGATTTGATGTTCTTCCTGAGAGCAGCTCCCACACTTCATGGACTGATAGTGTGGGCTTGTTGCTGAGGCCTGTCCATGAGTTACACCCTTCAGATATTTCTTGCATATAATCTGCAGGTTTTATATAAACTAATAACTTAATTTATACTCAGAAGTGAGAATTAAACCCTGTTTTGGTGTATTAAATGGTGCTTTTGGCTTAGTACAAACTCTTAGGGCTGATGTGGATTGGGAAGCATCTTGAGTTAGGCTGTTTTCCTTGTAACTTCTTTTATTTATTTATGAAGTCTGGTCTCATGGTCATCCTTGTTCACCCTTGAGATGAGAAGGGAATTGGTGTATTTTGCACATGCAGAGCTGCTCAAGGTCTTCATTTCTAGTGGGAAGCCAGAGGGGCTTCCCAGATTGCAGTGCTTCCCAGGGGATGATTCAGGGGTGCTTAGAAATGAGCAAATAACTCAGCACAGAGCAGGGGAGGTGGACTGATGTGCTTGGCATTTGTGATGTGGTCTCTTGGCTGCCAGTTCAACATATCTTCATGAATTCAGGAATGAGTTGTGAGAGTTTCAGTGGAGTTGTTCAGTAAAGGTTACTTGTAGGCATTTGGACAAACCAAGTTCAGATAATTACTTGGTGATGAGACTGGTGTTTAAGTTTTTAACAGTCTTTCTTCTTATTCCCCAGTGCATATGCTGCAGTTACTTCCTGTCAACTGCTGCTCTGTGTGTTATTAATTAGGCTCATTTCATTAATCATTCTTAGATAATCTGAATTTAAATACTGTTTGTTTGAAATCACTCCAGCAAACTTGTATCAGTCTTCAATGCAGAAATTTTCTCTAATCTTTTGACAAAGCTGCTTTTCTGCCTTGAAGATGAGAGAGCAATTGATTTGTAGCTGATGTTTTACATGCTATTAATGATCCAAATTGGGTTGGGAAAGAACTCTATGAGCTTGGCCTTTGAAATCTGTTCCCAAGCAGATAGCATAAGCATGAAAGGAATTTACCTTGAATCCTTGTAGCATCATTGTGCTGCTTATCTGTACCTGGAGCAGCTGTAACCATGGCATTGCAGCACTGGCACTGAACAGTGACCTGACAGGAGAGAGAACTTGGATTCACTGGCAGCACTTCCATGCTGGAAGCTAGCACCAAAAAACAAAAAAAAAAAAAATTAAAAAAAATCCAATTTGCTGTATAAAAGAGGAAAGATTATTTTCCTTGTGCCTTGTGTAGAAAGCTGCTGCTGCTTACTCCTTTCCCTCTGGTCTTATCAGCTCTCCAACTTCATTACTCCACAGATTCCATGGAAGTGAAGCCTATTATGACGAGGAAACTGAGACGGAGACCAAATGATCCAGTTCCTATCCCAGACAAGAGGAGGAAACCTGCCCCTGATATCCTTTTGTGGAATCACTGCTGGCTTTGCAGCCCTGTGCTACCCACACCTTTGTTGTTTTGTACAGCAAGGAAAAGGAAATTAAATGCCAGGATCAGATTTGAGCTTGGGAAATACTGAAGCACAATTGTCATGTATGTGCTAAAGCAATACATCAGTTATATAACACATATATAGAAACCAGTGTTTGGAGATCTCTTGGTATCCTAACTTAATCCTCACTGTATCATGAGATAACTTTTTTTTTTTGGTCAATGAGAATGGTTTGAATTCTACAGGCAATTTATTTCACAAAAGAAAAACTTTACAAGAACGTCATTATATATATATGCTGAGATAATTGATTCCATAGATAGTAAATGGCTTTTTACATGAGCCAGAGCTTTTCTCATTTCAAGACGTGACAAAGCATTTACCAGAAAGATCATATTTGTCATATCAAAATAGTTTTTCCATTTCTGATAAAAGCTTCAGATCTCTAATCCAGAGATGCATAGCAAAAGCAAGGATGCTAGATTTGTTCTTTGAATAAGGAAAGATGAAGATTCATCTTGTTTTCATGTATCACAAGAGACAGAAAAACATGTCTGTGTAATCCTTAGGATCTGCCTTGCTGCATGTCTCAGAATTAAAATGTTCCTTGGCTTCTGGAAATATGTTTTTAGCTCCTCTGTGATAGGCACTTTTTCTATTTGTGTATTAAATTCACCTGGAGAGGAAGGCAAGGATATTTGCTTTGCAGGAGCTTCTTATTAGATTCTAAACTTGCATTCTTAGATTAAAAAAACTTATCCGAGTGACTCTCATTTTCTGAAGGCAATATCAAACCTTGAACTTTGGGAGTTCATGCAGGGTGGTCATGAGCATCTCCAGTTTCAATTAACCTCTTTCTGGTTGGAGATTCTGTTCACTCTTTCAGGAAAAAAAAAAAAGTCATTTATTAGTGCCCCCATCTCATCCAAAATAAATGAGTTTCATAGTGAACATGACCTGCTAATTGAGCATGATACAGCAACCACACCATGAAACTCTCTGCCTTTGTTCACTGGGAGAGGATTAAAGTCCATCAGACCCAAGACCCTTGAAATGCAGCCAGCAATTGTTACCTTTAGTTTAATACTTTGAATACTTTTGGCTAAACACTTGCTACGAAGAAACAAAAGTACAGCAGAGCTCTAATAAGGCTGTAACACACTAATTTCTATTTTCAAAGGTTTTGAATTTGTTTTCAGGTGCATTGTAGGCTCTTATTTATCCCCAGGCACACAAAGTTTTATTTAACTAGGTTTAGGTGGGATTTAGCTTCATTGTAGAAAATCTGAAGTGAGTCAGCTCATAGATTCTTCTCCACAAAAATACAAGATGAGAAACACTGAAAATGCTGGTGCTTGATCCTTCCATGAAGTAAATGTCAGTGCACTAAAGGTTTTTCATTGATGGTTCTGTCTGAATAAGTTAAAATGATTTTGCACTCCGCTGCTAAGATGGTGTGGATAGACTTGTATTAATCCCTCTGACAAAAAAAAAAAAGCTCAAGTAAGACATTTATTAAAATCCTGGAAACATTTTGGCTTACATTTACTCAAGTGAAATGTCATTGACCTTTAATTTTTAGCCTTGCTGCTCAAGAGCTTATGGAAACCTTAATTCTGGATACCTCAGCTAAATTATTTGTTGACTGATGAGCAAATAATGGAGGACCTAAGAACACTGAATAAGGTAGGGATTGTTGCTTGACTGTATTTCTTCATTTTAAAGAGAAGGCAAATGGTTTCTCCTGAAGAGAGCAGATCTGTCTTTAATGTTCATTTTGGAGATGTGGGACTATTTCATCCCCGTAGGCTTTCTGAAGTAGCACAATAAAGGATTTAGCAAGATGGTATCTCCTCTTTTTTATTGAGGCTTAATTAACCTAATTTGAATGACTGTCATCTAAAAATGTTACCTTTTGTGTGAACCAAGGGATGAGCAATGTTAAGGAGTTTCTTCCTCATGGCTGAACAGATGTCAGTGTGTTTTTCTGGGAGATCACAGGCTGCCTTTGGTTCAGGCCTTAGTGTGGGGTAGGATTTTTTATTAATTTTTTTCCTCCCTGCTGTCACAAGATTTCAGCGAGCTGGATAGGGGGCAGTGTGCATGTTTATAGTTTTTCTAGTTTTGATTAACATATTGCTGAACACTTGCAGGCTTATCTAATTTCTTAGAATATAAGCTGCTCATTAAGGCATTTTAAGGATGGTAATGGAACACTGGTTTTGTGCCAGCTGTTGAGGTTTCTCTACTGATTTATCTCCTGTATTTTGTATATCCTGAGAAATGTTTCACATTCAAAAATAGCATGTTAGATGGGTTTGACTCATTGCAGTGGGTTATCTGAATGCTCTCAGGTTCACTTTTTTGGCCTTTTGGATCATTATACTGATTATCTGCACCTTAGGCTGCATAGAGCACACTGCTCTGGTTGTGTTATGCCACTTAACAGAGCATTTAAAATAGAAACATTCAGAGCATGGACAGTAAGATACCTGAAGTTATCACTGCAGCTTCTGTGGCTCCTGTCAGATCTCTAACACTGCTTTGCTCTCTTCCCATGTAGCTTAAATCACCCAAGAGACCAGGTGAGTTACAGATGCAGTGGAACTTGTTCTGGACAGAGGATGGTACTGTAGGTGTTTGGCTGTGGGATTGCTGTTCTTTGTGTGGTGCTGATGTTTGTCAGGGATGGGAAGAGGGGCATGAACATCTTTGGTGGCTGAAACGATTGGGCAAGGGACAATCCAACTGGGAAAAGAGGTTTTCTATTCTATTCAGGTGCATCTGGGCACCTTGTCTGCTTGTCAGCTCCACTGAGGGATTGACCCCTTGTGCTTTTATGCCTCCAGCTCTATAGATGTGCTTGTACGGTTGATTTCAAGACAGAGTGAGACTAACTTGCCTCAGTAATTTTAACCATATTTAACTAATTAACTGTGGATTATAACTAAAACAAAATCAAGGACATATTGTCCATCACTTACCCATGAATGTTTTTTCAGATAAATGCTGTATTTCAATGAATCTTTTAATTCACTGTAGAGGTTGAGTTACTCATCACAATATATAATTTCCTGATGGATATTTGAGTTTTTTCTCTGCTTGTTACTTCTGCACACAAAACCTTATGAACTGCAGTTCTGCAGTCAGGTGTGCTGCTCTTTAACCTGAGTGTGTCTCCTGTCCCCAGCCTCCCCCTCCTCTCCTGAGCACCTCCCAGCTACACCAGCAGAGTCTCCAGCTCAGAGGTTTGAAGCTCGGATAGAAGATGGCAAACTCTACTATGACAAGAGATGGTGAGGCCTGGGCAGTTTCTGTTCCCATCAGTCTGTGTGGTGTGGTGTGTAGTGAGGAGGCAGAGAAATGGCTTTGATCAAAGGATTGGTGGACAAAATGCTTTTGGGCAGAGGTTTGCTGCTCCCTCCACAAGCTCATCAAGGGTCCAGTAAAGCAGGGGTGATGATGGAGTGTTCACACTCTGTAGGCTTTCAGAGATAACTGGTGGCTCCAATAAAAGGAGACTGGAATCTTTTCCATGTCCCACTGTGGCACTTAAGAAGTCAAACCTAATATGAGGTGGGAGAGGCAGCAGCAGCCACAGTGGATGTGATTGAAGCTGCCCAGCTTGGATACACACACTCCATGATTTGCTGTCAGCAGCACTCCCGTTCCTGAGGTTCAGCTCTGTGCAACACAAGCCCAGCATTCCACAAGGTGGCAGAAGAAATGTCATCCAGCAGCTGCTCAGGATGAAAAATGCTTCTAATAAATCCAAATAACCTTTAAAGATCAAACCCAGATGGGAGAGGCAACTTTGGAATTGTTGATTGGATTTATCTCTGTTGAGTTTTATGGCCATACATCTGTACAAGCCTCACAAAACACAAGGAAAATATTAAATTCTGCAGAGGAATCTTAGTAGATCTTAAACTTAATCCATGAGACTTACAAACCTGGATAATCAAGGGGGCAATCTTTAACTCCTTGAGCAGAAAACAGTTTGCTTTCAAAAAGTTATCTGCTTATTTGTAGCCTACTTCAGTGTTCAGGTGGCTCAAAGTAACAAGTGATGAGGCTGTAATTTTATCACAGAAGTAGGTGTGAAGCTGGTTTTTTACACAGCAATCCCCTTGGCCTGTTGGTCAATTTTTTCCTTCTGACTGAAGTTTGAGAGTTTAGTGTACACAGCTCTCATCAAAGCTGCTCCTTCAGTTTAAACACCTATGAAGTGTAAAACAGGTAAGAACTGAACAGGCTACTTATTCCACAGATCCATCAAGTTTATTTTTTTTCCTTTCATAGTTTTTTTTGTGTGTGTAAAGTGACTATCTCAGGGTATAGTTGGATGAATAAACTCTTCTTCAGAATTTTGAAGCATATGGAGTACTTGAAAAGTATTCATGAGTAAAAAAAGAAAGAAAAAAAAAAGGCATCTGAAGTAATCTGTCAGTAAAGCTCAAACCTTCACATTAAATTTAAAACTGGAAGAGCTTCAGTGAGCCCAGAATCCCACCAAAGCACCAGCTCTCTCTGAAGGGTATCTAGCTGGAGTATAAAGCACTTAACAGATATTTTCATCTGGCTGAATTCACTTGTCATGGGGGTCTTGTTGTCAGGAATTCCAGCTTCTTGTCTTTCCTGGCTGCCTTGTTCTTATGCTGTTTTAAGATCAGTATTTTATATTTTTTTGGTTGTAATAATCCTGCTTAGATTTTTTTGATTGATAGTAATAGTACTTGTGCAAAGTAGCTGGTGTTATAAAATAATGAAGCAACTCTTGGTAGTGGGAGGGTAATTCTTCCTAAGGTGCATAAAGAATGCTGGCATGCACAGAACCCCCAAACCTGACAGCCCAGGAATGACTTTGTGTTTCCTGATGCAGCCCTGCATGACCATTACCTGAAAACAGGGAATGTTTAAGGCCAGTAATGAACCCCCTGAAGTCTTGCAGAGACCTTTCACAGGTGTCTCCAGAGTGGAGTGTTCCAGGTGAATGTGGAATTAAGGCTCAGATTTTTATCCTCAGAGCTCTGTGCTCCCCCATCAAATCATAAACCACAGTTCACTGTAAAGCAGCCATCTTTTTGCTCTTAGTTTTACTGCATACAATAATGCAGAGGGATTTCTTTCAGTCTTCTGATGGAGTTGCAGTTGGAAATCTTGGCCTTTCAGTAAAATATTTTATAGCAGGAAATGGAATTACTTCTGCTTGCCTCACTTGGTGCCTTCTGCCTCCTGCAACAGCAAGAGTTGTTTCGCTCTTTGCTTTCTTGAAAGCCAACTTAAAACCTCACTGCACTTTTCATCTGAGGTAATTTCCTCAATCCTGTCCCTCTCTGGATAAATAAACTTGGCAAAAGGATGAGACATGACCAGGTAACTGATGCACCAGGGTGCTGTGCCTTCAGCTGCCCTGTCTCTGAGTGTGGAGCCTGAGACAGCTGAGACAACTCTTCAGTAGAACACTGCTGACTTGCTTCTTTGCCTGTTCTGGCACAATTAGCATTAATTTACTGATGGAGAGTCATTCATGATGTGAAATCCAAGGGCTGAGTGAAGCCTCTGACACATGTGTCATCAGCTTTGGAATTCACTGAGAATCAAAAATTAAAAGTAGGGGAAAAAAAATCTTTCCTTGTTTGTATGGGCACAGCTAACACTTGAGGGCTGTTGTTTGCACTGGTATCTCCTGCACTGCTGCTGATTGTGTCGAGATCAAAACTCTTGCTTGAGTACTCACAGCATGGCATGGTAGGGCACTGCTGGACTGAGATTTTTGTCTCAGTGAGGCCTGGGGTTGGTAGTAGCTTATTGAGTTCCTCTCTATCATTTAATGACACCTGAACTTGCTAAACTGAGATTTATTAGGCTCAGATCATTGTTGCTGGAACATACTGACATTATTTCTGTCAAAACAAAGGAGAAAGACACCTGTGCCCAACCATTGTTTTAAAGGTTGCAGGATTTGGGGATTTCTTTATTCCCTCACCTTCCCCATGGGTAATGAGGATGTTTGGAAGGCTCAGAGCTGACACTCATTCCAGTGAAAATTCTGAGTGCATAAGCCAGTAGGAAGAGATTGATTGGAATAAACCATTGGAAGACTTCCACGTGTACAGTATGGTTATTGTAGAAATAACTGTAAAGTTTAAATAAATCCATGTATTTTACAAATGGCAGTCAGGCTGCAGGAGATTGCACTGGGTGGCTACTGAGGGAATATCTGTGCAGGGATTCTGCAGCTTGGATTGCCCAGATAAAATCATGATTGGGGAAAGGTGGAAATACAGACATGCTTTTATAGCTGTGGAGTATTTTGGTGCTTGCTTGATTAAGATGATACACTTACAAATCACGTGTTCCAGTGTAATTAGTTCTGCCTATGGAACAGAATGAGGCAGAATGAACAGAAAGTGGAGTTTTGGGGCTGGCACACTGTAGGACTTGGAGAAATGTGAGCTGTGAAAGAGGCAGGTCCACAAAATGAAAGAATTCAGAGCTATGAATTTCAAAGTCTTTGTTTTATAAACAATGCATTAAGAACAATATAGAGCTTAAAATATTATCTAAAATAGGATGAAATGGATAGTTTAGTCATGGCCTCCTTATGGCAGATATTTCCAGCTCATTACAGTCAGTTACCCATTAGTTACCATTTTGGGTATTTTCACAAAATAGGACAGCATTAGAAATTTGAGGTCTCATTAAACAGTGTACAGACTGCACTGATTGAGGGTAATTCACTTTTGGTGGTGGTGGTGCTCAGTAATTCTGTACTGGGAAATAACCTGAGTATCTGTGATTTGCTCTGTCGTGTTTTGTCAAGCAAATTAAGGAGCTGCCTTCTGAAATCCATCCTGTGTCTGAAGTGGGAGAGGCTGCCTGGATTAACCCTTGGAGCCTGGGTGTGTTATCAGTCACTCCTCCCCTGGGCTGTGGCTGGGGCTCTGCCTCTCCCCCTTGCAGTTGTGAAATCTGTTTTCAGTAACCTTTAGTGCAGAGTTGAATGTGAATTAAGATCCTCCTGCATTTCAGAATATCTTTAAATGCAGACTGTGTGTGTGTGATCAGATCACCCACTATGTTGCAAAGATGGAGAAAGTGATGTGGAAGGAAAGGCAGACTTCAAATTTACTCTGTCCAGCTTTATCAATAATGGATTCATACATTTGCTTTTTATTTTTACTTTTTTTTTTCTTTTTGCAGGTACCACAAGAGCCAAGCTATTTACCTGGAGTCTAAAGAGAACACGAAGATCAGCTGTGTGATCAGCTCTGTGGGTGCCAACGAGGTTGTGGTTGCTTTTATTTGTCTGGAGAGGGGGGAAAGACATGGGTCTAGTAAGGGCTAAAAATAGATTCCTGTCTGGTGTGTAAAGAAGCTGAAGCCAAGATAAAACTGGCTTGAGAAAACTCTTTTTTGAGATGGGAAGAGACTTGCTCTATTTCTGAAGGATAATCTTGTGTTTTGCAAGCTCCTGCAGCAGTTGGGCAAAGGGAGCACTTTGTTCTTTGCTTGCAGATTCCAGACACTTCAGGGAGAGAAATAATAGATTGGAGTGCACTTCTCCTCAATCAGCCAATAAAGGAACTTTAATTTGTTGTGGCAGCTAGGGGAAAACACTTTTATTTTCCCCAGAGTTGCATGTGGGATCTGTTTGTGTCACAGCTGTTCCCCTGCAGTGGCAGTTGTGGCACTCAGTTGTTCAGATAAAAGCAGTGATAGTGTGCTCATGGATGCATTAAAATTTGTTAAAAGTTATTACTTTAATTTAGCTAAACTAATGCATCATTCCCTCATACTGTGGTAGAATATAAAATTGTTCATGTTTGTTTCCTACAGTTGCTCAAAGTTTATGGATTTTTGAGTTCTTTTGGCAAGCAAGACATGCCAAATCCTTGGAAATGTTGCAGTTGGGAGATGATTATCAATGAATGTTGATTTTAATTTCTCTGGAGAAATAATTGAAGTAGAAATCCAGACAAATACTAAATTTATTTTATATTGAGGGGTCCTGTTAATAAAGTCAATTTATAATTAAAGTAATAGAGTTAAATCAATTTACTTACCAGGCCTGTAGCTAATATATTAAACAGAAAAAGTTTAGGGTAAATCACAGGCCAACATAACTTTATAATCCTTTACAGCAGGAAATACTGGACTTCCATCCTAAAATATTGCAGTATTAAGGAGTGGACAGTTCTTACTCAATGTATTTATATAAATATATTGAAATGTATTAGAAGGATACAATGCAGAGGAAATTGCTCAGACTTGATTTTTAAAGTACAGATTTTTAGATCTAAACACCTTGAAGGTGATTTCAAAAGCTGTCTGGAGGGGCTGCCTCGGTGGCAGCAATTTGTCCTCTGGAACACATGGTGTGAATCCTTCCATGCCAGTGTTTAAAAGAGAGGCCCTTTTATCTCCAGACACAATTTCTGTGCTACATTGTGGGAAATGCTTCATGGAACAGAATCAGAATAAGCTTTTCATTTGACTAATAGTTACTTGTCTGGGCAAATCCCAGGACAGATAATTTTATGATCTGTGGATCTAGAGAGACTTAGTCTTGATTAGACAAAGCTCAGTGCCACGGTGCTGTTGTGAGCTGTCACAGGAGGAACCTGCTTTCCTGATGGTGCTTGAAAGAGTCATTTTTCTTGAGGTCTGTTTTGAGCAGGAAGTTAAGGAGCTGAAGTTAGACACCTTATTTCATTTTCTACTCAGGTTGCAATGCCTGGTGTGGGAAGGGAAAGGGGATTAACCTCATTGATCTGTGCCCCCTGAGGAGTTCAGCTCCGGCACTGAGACACCGAGTTAATGTGTCTATTGCTTGCTTCGAGTTTTCCCTTTTTCTCCCCTAATTCATCTCCCTGCCCCATTCTTTTTACCTTTCCTCTCCTGCAGATCTGGGTGAGGAAAACCAGCGACAGCACCAAGATGAGGATCTACCTGGGGCAGCTGCAGAGGGGCGTGTTCGTGATCCGCCGGCGCTCGGCCACCTGAGCCTGCCCAGCCCTGCCCTGGGTTTTATCACATCACCAAACCTCTGCCAGGGGCTCACAGGCTGCTCACTCCTCCCAGCAGCAGGCAACAGTCCTGACCTCTGACGAGACACTTTGTGGCTGGCCACATAATCCCCAGTAGTCCTTAAACCTTTAGTGATGCCCAAGCACTGCCCTGGACTATTTCTGGATTTTTGCATCAAGCTTCTGTACGCTCTCTTTGTATTTTGGGTGACTGTTTGAGACGACTTTGCATCATCCTCCTTTTCGTTGTTGTTTTGTGGTGCACAGACGGGACTCGTGTGTCAAAAACGTCATCATCATGTTTCTGTTGGGAGTCAGACCAGTGGAAGAGGCTTTGCTTGTCAAGACCTGAGGTTCTTTGTGCTTTCTGGCCTTGTTTTTCCTGCAAGGCTCAGGGTTTTGGGCAGAAGATGAATCCTGCCAGGTTTCAGCTGCAGCTGAGAGATGCCTCCAGAATACCTGGTGCACAACACCAGCTTTATTGGATGGACTGTTGAAAGACTGGAGACTTTTTTAGGATGGTGTGAACAGCTCAGAAACTGCTGAAAATACAGTGATTTTAATGTAGCTCAGAGTCACGTGTGGTTAGTCAGAAGCTTCCATTTCTCTTCACATTAAAAAACCCTTCAATGAACAAGCAGAGTATGTCTGTTTGCTGATATAATTACCTGGGATAGGTGGATGACTAAATTAAAGGAATAATTACCTAGATTTTGCAGATAGCAAAGCTGTATGAGTTCTGTGTGTGTCTATAATCACTCACAGATGTAGAGAGACAAAAGATCAATTTCACTTTTTCCACTGATGCTCAGAATCACAGGTTATGGTGGGATCCTGCTGACAGGAGATCCTGGATCTGTGGTATCCTCCCAAGGAGCCTGGTACAGAGTAGAAAGTGGCCTTGACATGCTGTTAGCTGCAGCCTTCGTTCCCTGAAATGTTCTGCAAAGAGCTCCTCCTGAAGGCTGTTTTAATTGCTGGAGGTAACATGGGGTTTCTACACTTGCCTTCCTGCAGCACCAGTGAAAATGTCCAAATAATGACATTAAGATGCTCCCTAGGTGTTTAAAGATGTTTCTGGCACTGCTTTATTATTCCCAGTCATTTGCTGATGGCTGGAAGCACCAGTGCCATGTGTGACTGTCTTGGCAGGAGCCACATGGTGCCCTGGCAGTGCTGTCACATCTCTGCCCTGTGTGCAGAACAACTTTGTGCTCCTTTTGATTACTACTCAAAAAAGTTGTAAATTCTGTCTTTCTCAGTATCTGTCACTTTGAGGCATCTTCGGGTTGTGCTTTTGAGCTGCCTTCTTAACATCCCCCCAGCCTATCTTTGGTGTCTGGATGAATGGAGTCCAGGGAGGGGAGTTGCAATGGCTGTGCCCATTCCTTTCCTGCAGTTGGGTGGCAGTCACACCCCAAAAACTGATGCCTAGGTCTGGAGTGGAGTGTGATGGCTGAGTTCCTGATGTGACTGACACACCTGACTTGCTTTTGGCCGTGTTTGGATTTGGAGTGGATGTGGAGCTGTGGCAGGGAAGGAGAGGGTGTTTCCCAGCCCTCGACAATGTGCCACCCCTGCTGCAGCTCAGGCAGAACGCAGCAGGCTGGATTCTGTCAAGTTAACAGCTTACTTAATAGAACTTAACATTCTCTGCACATGTCACAGGTTTTTGATAAGGTGATGATGTACCAGACAGGATTTGTCACCGAGTCTTTAAATGAACATCGTGCTAATAATAAAAAGTGCTAAGGAAGCAGCAGGATTTATTTCCTGTCTGTATCACTTTATCAATCCATGGATTTGTGGGAATAGCTGGCGACTTGTGCTCAGTGTTGGGGAGATCCTTTGGCAGCAGCCATCTGCTGCTGTGGTGTTCCCTGTTCTGGGGTAATTTTGGGAGTTAATAGGAGTGTGGCTGGGATGTCAGTGTGTGTTGGACAGGGAAAGGGGCTCCATGAACCCATGGTGAATCCAGGCACTGCCTCCAGGGAGGATGTGTGAGCTTTGTACAACTTCCTTCCATCAGAATTCCTTGCCAGTTTTCCCCAGTGCCCCTGGGTCAGCCTTTGAACTGTTAATTTCTGCTTTTGGCAGCCCTTAGTAGGGGTTGTACTGCTGTAAATGGCTCAAACTTAACTGCTACACTGAAGGAATTTTGTTTATAGGCTACTTCATCCTCAGTTTCTTAATGAAATGGAAGTCTGCCTTGCCTCTGTCGATCACCATAAAGAGTAGATGTGTCTCACAGAGTACATGAATATTGTATCCAGGTTTTTTTTTTTTTTTTATCCTGGCAGGCTGTTCTGTAATGGCCTGAGCCATTTGTGAGGCTGGAAGAGATAAAGTGCAGTGCCTTGCTGTGCACTCAGGGAAGCAAGTGAATTTTTTTTTTTTAATCCTAAAAGGATGCACAAGTAGTTCTGTGGTGAGGATGAGGCATGTGGAGATCAAGAGTGGAGACATCAGATGTAGAATTGAAGATTTCCTGCCATGGGCTGGAAAAATAGAGACAAGTTACTCAAGGAGATGGACAAGGTCTTGCTTGAATTCTAGGAGAAAATTGGCTTTTCTGTCAGCTCTTTGCCTGCTTATCATCAGTCTTGAAGGATCCCAACCCTCTGAACAGAAACAGCTTTGCTGCAGGTATGAAACAATTTAATCCTCATTATGAACAGCATTCAAAGTAAATTTAGGAAATGGCTTTAACTCGTCATTAGAGTAATTTTAAAGAAAGGTGAACCTTCTGCCAAAAATAGACTTTTATTGAGGGTTAAATTGCAGTTGGCTGAGTCATATTAAGCATTTTTTTTATTGCCTTGAGAAATGGACTGTGATGTTGATATGTGTAAAATAAAAGAGACATTTTTCCCCCCAGCCATTAGATGTTCCAATGGAAGGAAGCCAGATCAAGGAGCCAACTTCCAGGGGGTTTTTTTACATCATTCTCAACAAAAAGGTTTCCAAAGAGGCTTTTTCCAAGGACAAATGTTAATACACAAAATTGGCTTTTTTTTTTAGTTTATGTGCTCTGCCTGGAATTTTGTAGAGACAAAGGGGTTTAATGACAGAAACCTTAATTGTTTGCCTTGTTTATTGCAAATTTCTGGGGAACTTAAAGAAAATGAAGACTAAAAGAGCAAGAAATGGCTTTGTGAATAACTGAGGTCCTTCCTCCTTCAGAAAAAAGAAAAAGCAGCATTTGCATTCTTGTTCCACAGAAGCAAACACTGAAATATTCAGAAAATCTGAATGGGTGTCTAAGGTTTGCTGTTACTATTTTTAGTTTGCCCACTTCTAAAACTAAGAATTTAATGCAATTAAGTATTTAGAAAACAAAAGAATGCTGTTATTTTTCTATGATTTGTTGAAAACGTGTTGTCACTGAAGCTTCAAATTTCATACAGTTAAAGAAGTCCATTAATTTAATGTTTTGCTGAGTGTGGAAAACTCCTTTAATATTTAAAGCTCAAACTTTGGGGATGCCAAAACTTCTTGTAATACTTAAGTGCCTATCACTTTACAGTGGAGTAATTCTGTTTATTTAGATTCCTCCTTTTAAAGCAAGAATGCTTTTCTGTAAAATACTGATTTTAACTTTTAAATAGGCACGAAGAACAGCTTGGGTATATAAAATCAACCCCCCCCCCCAAATATTTGGGGTTTTTTTTCCCTCCAATATGATGCTAATAAATAAGCAGAAGGAGGAGAGTGGCTCAGAGAAGCCTTGGGACCAACATTTAAATAACATTTAGGTGACAAAAGAAATGCAAAATATTCTCCATGGTGTATATCTAAACAGAATGGGTGTCTGAAGTCCTCTCACATCATTAAAATGCTGAACAGCAGCACAGGAAGAGTTACTTAAGCCTTTGGTTCTAAAATAGCAATGCTCTGAGCAAAGGCAGGCATTTGTAGGGCTTTGGAAGCGAGAGCTGTAACCCACGGGAAGCAGCTGCTGATTTATTCCATCAATCTCACATTTGAAAGCTATCAGTTCTCTGGATGCCTCAGGTAGCTTTGTCATTTTTCATTTAGTTCTAATTTGCATCCCCATGTTCTGCCCCGAATCATGAGAGGGGGGGAAAAAAAGGCAGAGTAATGATGAAATGTACATTTTTTTCATTTCACTTTATTAATGCTCCTTATTTTTATTGAGTTTAGGATTCTTTGCAGGGTGGTCTCTACCTGCAGATCTCTGCAGGCTTAATGGCCAGCCCAGGTCATGAGAGCTAACAAAGCTTTAATAAAAAATAGATACAAATGCAAATCCAGGGGGAAAATTGGTGTCTTCAGTCAAGGTTTCTGCTTGATGGTTTCAATCCTGTTTGGAAATGGAAGGGTTTTTAAGTGCACAGACTGGTGGCACTGGCTGACAGGTTTGGAGGACAGGCTCAGGACACATGGCTGCAGCTCCATGTCTGCTTCCATCATTAAATGATGAGGTAAGTCAAGTTTTTTGTTTGTTTTGGGCTTTTTTCCTTTTTTATTTTTTTTTAGAGTGTTTAATAAACGATTGATTTCTGTCACACAGTTGAAGGCAGCTGCTGATCACGTCAAGTTCCTGTTAACACTGAAAAATCACTCATTTTGTAGGAGAAATAACCTTTTGCCCATGATCTCAAATTTAGTAACACTGCCTAATAGCAACAGGAATATTTTTTTTCTGATGTGATTAGAGAAGAAACATTCCAAACCTCACACATCATGAGGCATCACATAATGGGGAAGGCTCTGAATACAGATGATACTAAATCATGTAAAGCAGTTGCACAAAATGAGTATAAAAGCAGGAGGCAAGGATGGTGTTGGAAAGGATTTCTGGGGTGGTGAAAATCTCATCCATTGAGATTGGGAATTGCTCAAACAATTGGCTCAAGACTGTCTGGAAAACTGAGACATGAATGAGAGCTTGACCTGGAAGCCAGGGATGCTCAGTCTGTAATGGGATCTCAGCATTAGAATATTGATTAGATCTCATTTTGGACCAAGCCTGGAGTTTTGCAGTCCAGCAAAGGGAAATAAAACATGGCAGGGTTGTTACCAGCCCTGCCTCAGCCTCTTGGTCTTGTTCTCCCCTGAGAGAATTCAAACCTATTGATTTCTTTCCTCTTTCACTGAAATAACAATTTTTGGAAGAGCTTTGAAAGTCAGGGTGAAATGCAGAAATGCAGTGTCTGTCCCCTGAAGATGGATCAACCCTTGTCTGTTCCAAGGAAGGGACAATTGGTGGCAATCCAGTGAGTGGCTCTGCCACAGCAGGGCTTTGCTCCTGGAGGATTTCATCCATCTCAGTAGACACAGGTGCTTGTCTGCCGTTTCCAGGTGCTGTGGAGTATTTAGCAGGCATTTTGGGCTGCAAAGCTGCAGTGTTGGTGCTCTCATACCTGCACTGTGTGTCTGGGTAGGGAGAGGTGGGGCATGGAAGGCAGATCCTGGACTGTCCTTGGAGGGACTCATGGAATCACAGAATGGTTGGGCTGGAAGGGACCTTAAAGCTCATCTTCCAGCCCCTGCCATGGGCAGGGACACCTTCCACTGTCCCAGCTGCTCCAAACCCTGCCCAGCCTGGCCTTGGACACTTCCAGGGGTCCAAGGGCAGTCACAGCTTCTCTGGGCACCCTGTGCCAGAGCCTG